AAAAAAAAAAAAAAGGCAGCGTATATACCTTATGCTCCCACTTATTTTCCCCACCAGAACCATCCTGTGAGGTGGGTTGGGCTGAGAGAATGCAACTGACCCAAAGTCACCCAGCTGGCTTTCATGCCTAAGGGAGGACTAGAACTCACAGTCTCCTGGGTTCTAGCCCAGCACCTTAGCCACTACACCAAACTGGCTCATACATGACTTCACTCTAAGTATCTCCAAGACCATCTTCTTCAACCATTCTCAACCTGGATGTGGATCTCCTAGGAGAACCTTTTAGTGCTCCCAGACTTCTGTAGAGGGTATATGGAACAGTCTTGACAGGCAGGAGGAAGAGCCACTACCAAGGCAATTATCAGAGAAGCATGGCTTGAGCCCATTCCAAGAATTTGAGTAAAAGTCTCAGACAAGCCCCTCCCCAATTCTCACAAAGATAAAAGGGGGGAGGGGGGAAGCACATTCAGATTTGCAAGATTCTGTTATTATGACTGTTACAATAAAAGTAGTCCTGACCTACATGGCACTGGTTTCTTACTCTGGTCAACTTTATAGGGCTGATAACTTCACAAGGTAAGGGGAGTGAGGGCTCACAGGCACTGATTTTCTGTTGTTGCACCTGCTTTGTAGAATATCCCTCCCCCAAGATAGATCAACCCCAATTTTACTAACATTTTGTAAACTGCTCAAATTAGATATTTGCACATTTGCTGTGATGGCTATATACTTTCACATTATTATTATAGCTTTTTAAAAAAATTACATTTATTTTATTGACATTACATTGTGGATGTTTTAATGTATTGAATGATATTGTAAGCTACTAAGAGTGGTTTGGCTGTGGCCAGTAACAAGCTTAGGAACAAATAAATAAGCATGCAGTGGCCAGGGTGTTGGTACATCAGTCCCACCAGTGCATAGCATCGTTTATGTTGAAGCTGCTGCATTGGTTCCCAGGAGGCTTCCAAGGCAAGTGGTTACCTTTAAAGCCTCACCTGACGCAGCCCTGGGTTACTACAGACACAACGTTGCCCAAGTAGAATCCAACTGCTCTTCCAGAGCTTTTCTGAAATACAGGGCAGTGGACATGTCTTGGTGAGTCCTACTCAGTAACAGCTCCCCTTTATAAAACTCCCCCGCCCCCCGCCCCCCACTTCAAGATATGTGAATTCCCCATCCTCTGGGCTTCACATAACTCAGGGGAGGAAGCAAGTGAAAACAGTCTTATTCTATCCATCATATCTTTGGCCCTAGCTGAATGGAGATACCACAACAATTTGGATAGGAATCCTATTGTATTGGCTGTTTTGCTTTAATTGTTAGTGCTTTACTGTTTGCTTCCTGGAGTCAATTGTAAGTCGGGTGGCCTGGAAATGCTGCAAAAATAAATAAAAGACTGCATCCGCAGAGAAGGAAAAGGAAGCGCTGTGCCACAGTGAGCAAGTACAGAGAATGCCTTTCCCCAGGCAATGGGACATGATCCCCAAAGAGCAAGCAGCAAGAGGCAGGGAGAGTTCTATGCAATCTTCTGCACAGTGAGCCAGCAGAAGGGTTTCTTTTGCTGCCTATAGAAAAAGATACTCTTTTTCACAGGGAGTAAAGATCCTACTTTTAAAGAGCAAGAGTTAGCCAGCATTGATATGGCCAACCTAAGAGGAGCCTAGGAGCTGTACCAAGTAAGGCCTCTTGTTGCTCAGGCTTTTGGTTTCCTGGTGGCTAAGAGGAATCAAATTACAGCCAGTCCCAGCTACTGCCATCCCGAGAGGAACTATCCAGTCTCTTCTTAAAAACTACGTTCAAGAAGAGACCAAAGACCAAGTTGTTCCAGTGAGGAGGCCTCTAACCAACCTGGGCCATTGTTCTTAGTTTATTTTCTTTTCTTGAGTTTGTGTTATTTTTATTATGTTTGATACTTGTCCTTACTTGAAATTTTGAGCCTACCATGAAGGTTTTAACTGTCTTCTATCATGTTAACTGCTGAGAGTCAACTTGATTACAGCAGGATATAACCGTAAGACAAATAAGTAAATCTCTCTCTTTAGAGATGGAGAACCCACCCTGTCCATAGGTAGATCTTGCTGTCAGGAAATCTGTTCTTATATTTAAATGAAATCTAGATAGTTATAACTTATACTTCTTATTTTTGGTCCTAGTTGCTGAAGCCATGGAAAACAGTTCCTGACCAACTTCCCCAGGGCACCCTTTTATATACCTGGATATGGCTATCACGTCTCCCCTCCGTCTTCTTTCCTCCAGACCGAACTTCCCAAGTTCCTTCAGCCTCTCCTTGTATGTCATGTCCTCAAGTCCCTGGATCATCTTCATTGCCTTCCTTTGAACTCTTTCTATCTGGTCACTATCCTTCTGGGAATGGGGTGCCCAGAATCATGCACAGGACTCCAGGTGTCATCTCATCAGTGCTGAGTAGAGAGGAATAAGGACTTCACACGTCTTTGGTATGATGCTTCTGCTAATTCAGCCCAGAACTGCATTACCTTTCTAGCAGCTGAATCATGTTCAGCTTGTTGTCAACAATCACATCCAAGTCCTTCTCAGAGGCAGTGTTGCCAAGCCAAGTTCATAATCCTGTCAAGGGTACCATAACACTACCACCTGCACACCCCAGCAGCTGATAAGCCAATGTGTCACCTGATCCCAGAGGGAATGTACAGATGTGTATGCACACCCATCACGCTATTCCCTTTCCAGATAAGCAATGTTATGCAACGTGCAGGAAAAAAGTAAGCATTCAACCAAAGAAATTAAAGGCAAGGGATAGAAAGAGACCAGGAAATATAGCTAAATCTGGCATATTCTCTCTGTACATGAACTCTAGTTTTGTAAGCAGCCAAACAGCACTGCCATCCCTCTGCAAGTGCCAGCCTCTCCAAGGGAAAATACACCGTGGCAGAGGAGAGACTCAGCAGAGAGTATCCACTCAACTAAGCTCAATACAAAGTGCTTTTATTTCCAAACAGGATTCACTCCACTTTTCCATCCTTATTTCTATTATCTGAAGTAGCACTTCAAATGCTACATTTTTAAATTTTTAACTTATCCCTTTTTGAAGATTTCACCAACTCCACTCACTACTTTCTTGGTTTTCTTCCTCCTCTCAACCCATTCACCCTTCATTCATATATTTGTTTTGCAATTCAATCTATATTTATTATCTTGTTGAGCAGAGTGCAGCAATCCAAAGAAATCCAGCCAGAAAAATATATACTAACTGGTGTTTATTGATAAAAATGCAAAACTCCATAAAATGCAAATATCATACAAAATATAGGAAAAAACACTTCTTCTCATGTATTTTAGCATCCAAGACTTATTAGCAACATAAGCTTAACAAAGTCTCTAGCCAAAAACTCTCAGAGAAGAGGGACACTACTTGGTTATTAGTTACAACTACATAACCCATAAAAAACGACTACATGGTGGATGAAACTAGGCTTGGCATATGATCCTCCCATTATATTGCCAATCCATACCCCCCACTGGGTAACTAGCATACACACGCCAATAGGTGGCAGTAAATAGCAGTAGACGTGCAAAACACACAAGTTTTTCACATGATCCATGTAGACATAATATTGTTGTACAGATAATGGGATGAATTTCTTCCCATGAGAAACTCCTGATATATCTCTCTATATGACTTCAATGTACTTTTTTTGTATGGGTGACTTGCTTCTGTATTCAGTTCCCTTTTCTTCAACAGATTCATTCTTGATCCTATCTCTTCTGGTTTATTGCATGTATTAAGTACCACATTCCCACTGCACTCATTTCTATTTCTCCTAACATTCCCAACTCTCACTTCCAGATAACAATGGGGGCAGAAGCACATTCTTATACACTTTTCCCCTTCTTTTAACAAAGTTCATTCAGTGCAACAGAACATGTACCATCATCTGTCTGTCTACCACCATTAAAATTTATCTATTCATCTCCTTATTTTTAATAACTATTCTATCCAGTTTCACAAGTGCATCTACTTGCTCTTGTTTTTCACCATTTATACATAATTTCAATCCACTCCATCTTCCCTGTCAAACATAACTACCCTAATCTTTAAGTCACTTTCAGAGCTACACACTTTGTTGGATCATACAATCAAATACAAACGATTTGAGTTCCAGCCAATTATACCTAGTTTACATTATATACACAAGTTCATGTCCCTAACCAACACACCTCTACCATCACCATGACCATTCCTTATTAATTTATTCATAAATATATTAAAGAACCAGGGGGATAGCACACATCCTTGCCTTACACTCTGCTGAGCGTCAAATAAGTTGATAAGCATTCTATTTATTCTCACACAAGTTTTGCTTCCATCATATAAGAACCCCTATCGTATTCATCAACCAACTTTTAACTTCACACTCACACAGAATGTTTCGTAAGTCAAGCTTATTTACTTTATTGTAAGCATTCTCTAAATCAACATTCGTACATTTCTCAATGACCTACAGAAAAGCAAAAATCTTGTCTGCAAGTCCCGTTCTTGAAATAACGGCACACAGCACTTCCCAATGTTGTTGGTAGTCACCTCTTGTATCCTTTCGATTAGAATTTTTCCTAGGCACAATCAACAAACTAATCTCTGTGCTGTAACTTTTGCGTTCCATCTTGCCATCTTTCTCTTTGTGCAGGGAAATAACAACAGCATTCTTCAGGCACAGATGGCATCTTCAAACAAACATGAAACAAATCATACAGTTGTTTCACAAGCAAACCACATTCGTATTTTAACATTTCTCCGTATCATCTCTATCAGCAACCTTATCATTTTTCATAGAATTGTGGACCATGAGGATCATTGAGACCAACTTTTTTCAACATTCTCACAATTGGTGACTTTTTCATCCATTCTTTTCTTGGATACTAAGATTTATGGCATTTATTGAAATTCCTCCCTTCCACATATCTCAGTCATTCCCATATGGATCTCTAAAATACCCTTCCAGCATTCCCCCACTTCGACAATTGGTGACTTTTTCATCCATTCTTTTCTTGGATACTAAGATTTATGGCATTTATTGAAATTCCTCCCTTCCACATATCTCAGTCATTCCCATATGGATCTCTAAAATACCCTTCCAGCATTCCCCCACTTCGTTTTAATCCCAAACTATTTCATCACTCTCATTTTTAATTCCACTTACTCAACTGAGACTTATTTAGTCCTTTTCACCCACTTCGTTTTTTTTTATTTCCATCAAAACCACTCTGCAATTTTTCTGTCTCTTTACTCATTAACTATTATTTTCTCTTTGATTACATTATTTGCAATTATCTACTTCTCTATATGCACATTTCTACCAGAACAGCTGAGCTCCAGGGTGGAAATGTTAACTTTCTTTCCACAAAAGCCCTCTAGGTCTTCCCACATTGACCCCTCGTCCTGCCCTTGGGATGGCGGCTTGATAGCTCGCTCTGCCACCCCCCATCTTTTAGAGGGTGCCTCGCCGGGTGTCCTCTCCCTAAACCCAGGAATGGGAGAGGGGGCGGCTTCCATAACCTGTACTGCTTTTTTGGCAAATTAAAAGGAAAAACTGAGAAAAATATGAAATTTTCCAGCATCACTTCCTGGCCCTGTAGCACTGAAGTACATGGCAAAGGAAATGAGCCATTCTTCCCCTTGGGAGATAAATCAATCTCATGAGATACATAAAATAAAACTTCATTTGTTAAAAAAAGAAAAGAGAATGTAAAAATCCCTTTTAAGTTTTAGATAATCTATGCAAAAACATTTAGTGGCAAAGGAGATAAAAATGCAGAGCTGTTCCTATCACAGAACATGACTTAAAAGGACCATCAATAGAAAAATAAGCCTCTGGGCAGACCAAAAACGATGCCATCTTCTCCTGATTTAGAGGCAACACTAAAGAAACTTCAAGTCACAGAAAACAGACACTATCAAACATGTACTGCACATAAAAAAACACAGTAAATACTTGAGACAAAACATCAAGCTTAAGCACATAATCAAAATAAAAATTAAACCTTACAAAATATGTCTTAACCTGTCCTTTCAAAGACAGCTACTCTCCTGAAAAGATTTCCCTCTATTTCATTTCTTCATAGATTTCCCCCAGAAGATTCTGAAGCTGCTGGGGAGAAAGAACAAGCGTCTTCTCTTCTCTTCTCTTCTCTTCTCTTCTCTTCTCTTCTCTTCTCTTCTCTTCTCTTCTCTTCTCTTCTCTTCTCTCTTCCAATTTCTTTAAAGCAGAAACTTTGCTATCTAGCAGAAAAGGAGGGACTGGCGGTAGCATCCTGAACTACATGGCCCCAAGCCACACTTCCATTAGCCTGAATATCGACTGAAACCAAAGGTGGCTCTCGATCCGTGAAAGTGGGCATGAGAGCTTCCCCGCCGGGTAACTTTTTCTCATCTTGACTTCTTGAAGCAGTATACTCTTATCTGCAGCTTTCTTTGCTTCATTCCATCAAATATAATTTTCATACTTCCTGTTAGTGTAACTCCACACACTTGTTACACACTGCAACATTTTTTTCACTGTTTCAAGCAGCTTGGGAAATTAATCTATCTACTAATCCATTTTCATGTAGCTCTTCTATTTTCACTTTTCTTTCACTTTTCTTCTATGTCCATTTTCCCCTAAGACCCATTTTTGACACTATAAAAAATGGGCTCTCCTACATTCAGAATCTCTCCTTACTCTTTTATCCTTCACTAATTCATCAATATTTCATCAAAAGTAATCAAATCAAATGCTTTTAGATTAATATTTGTTCAGCTGTTTAAACAGACTTGTGATTACTGCATGTATTCAAAACAAACAGACCTTTTTCTAAGCAGATGCTCACTGAACAGGCATCATTCTTATTCATTCTAGGCACTCCGAATGGCCCATCATTTTCCTGTATTCTCTCGTTTCACTGGGCTACAGCTTTCACTGACCCTAGGATGAAATGGATTATCTGGATCCTTTTCAGTTGAGAATTAGGCTGGGTGTAGGACTGAAACCACAGTACTGGCCCTTCCTGGTGACCTTTGGTGGGACTACAATAAGTAGAACGTGACTCTTCTAACGCTACTTGGCAATCTTCAATACCATCAACCACGCTATCTTTCTTGACCATGTGTGAGGACTGCAAGTGGGGAATACTGTATTGCAGTGGTTCTTCTTTCCTGAGTGGCTGGTTCCACTCACGATTGTGGGTGGGAAGTGGTCAAGTCCTTGGGCACTCTGGTGGGGTGCTGCAGGGCTTCATCCACCCCCACCCCCCCACACACATGAAGCCCCTGGGAGAAGTCATGTCCTAGCAATTTGCAGATGATACCCAGTTATATATCTCCACTTCACACCGAGCAGGGGATGAAGAGATGGTCTTGACCTAGTGCTGGAAGTTGTTAGGGTTTAGATGGGGAAGAAGAGGTTCC